TGGGTCCATTGCATGGCAAATAGCATGGTCCAAGACCTCCCTCCTTTCGGTACTGTCCCACTACATGGGGTGTCCAGCTGCTACGCAGGACACAGGGAACCCAAAAGTTCACCAGTATCTTCCAGGAGGTGCATCCCAACAGGGCAGCACCAGGGACGGTCCCAAGACCTGTCAGCTGTGCTCCTGGGCATGGTCTCCTTGAGTGAGAACATCTCTTATCCCTAAGGCTCGTGGCTTTGGGAATGGGATGAGCTACTTCTCAGCAGAAGGACACAGCTTGGAGCTGGTCTTGTGTTGAGAGCATCTCATACAACAAGTCCTTTCGGCAGCCTCTCAGACTGCCTGGGTGCCCGACACCTAGAGCGGCTCCTGTGAGACGTGAGTGCCACGTCTCTGCTCTCACTCTAATGAGGACAGAAAGAGCTGGCAAATACACCAGGTCACCTGAACCTGAGCCTTGCACTGAACTCGTGACCTAGAAAGCAAAGCGTCCTGGCCACCGGTAAATCCTCTCAGCCAGCCCCATCTTCTCATCTCCTCCCTGCCTGGGGATTTGTGGGAATTATCGTCCCCCAAACATCCCCCGGTGGTTGTTCTGCCGTGCAGTCTCCTCTGCGCTTTGCATTTCCTAGCTCGTAACGGCGCTGAGAAGGGGCACTTTTCCCCTAAAGCCTTGGATGCGGGTGCCTGGAGAAAGGCCGGTGCACGGACACAGGCTCCTCTGCTCGTAGCGTGGGGCTGGCTTCTGCCCGGTTTCCATCAGGGTGAATTTGGAGAGCCTCCCTGCATCGCTCTGTGCGAGAGCGGGGGAGCGACAGCGCACCTCGGCTGCAGCCACAGGTCGATACGCACCTCCAGGCCGCTGGATCTGCAGGCTGATAAAACTAACAACCCTAAACAGCCATTTCCACGCATTAATAACAGAAACCGCAGACAGCGTTGGGAGCTGGCCCAGAACAGCTATTTGGCTTCCTGGAGGGAATCGAGGAATTATTCCCTGAGCTGGAGGAAGCCAGGACAGACTTTCTGCCGCTCTCCGGGCCCTTGGAGGGTTGGTGTCTCCCACCCGCCCTGAATTTCCCTTCAGTAAGGCAGCTCTGACGGGACGGATGGCACAAGGTGCGCGCTGGCTCCGGGGGGACAACGCGGCCGGGAGCATGGGGTGATGCAGGGGGACACGCGGCGGGCACGTCCGCAGGGAGCTGGCGGACACCCGCGCTCTGCCGGGCGGCGAGAGCTCCCCGAGGGCTGGGTCGCCTCTCCCTGGTTTACTCCGGATTAATTCCCCTCCTCGGGGCTGGGGCTAGAGACAAGACAGCAAAAAGTTCCCTGCTGCCCAACACGGAGACGGAGCATTTTGGCTTCTCCGCGCTCCCCTGCGACGGGCAGCAATAACCGCCTTCCTCTAAGGCTGCCAAAAAGCTGGCTCAGATCCCAAGGGAGTAAAATAGGAGCCTCAAAGAGCCTGTTTTTTGGGTTTTTTTTTTTTCCCCTCAGGCAGGTTTTCTCAGGGGTGAAGCCCTGATCGCCGGACCCACTTTGCGGGGACGCTTGGCTGCAGTTCTCCAGCTGTGATGACATTGTGTCTCTTCCTATCTCGTCACGCTGTTTGCACCACTCTCTTTTTTTGCAGAGAAGTGGAGATGAATCCTTTTTTTCCCCCCCTTGAACGTTCACAGTCATAAAAAAAGTGCCTTGGCGGCGCCTTGCCCTGCGCCCACAGCTCTGCTCTTTCCTCGCACGCTGCCCAGCGAGGAGAGCGCAGCGGGAAGCAGCGGGTTCCCATCGCGCCGCGGATGTTCACAGAGAGGAAAGTTTGGAGCAGCAAATGAAGGGAGAGTTCCCAGTCTGGAAACCAAGCTACAACTGATGCAACGAGGGGTCAGCAAGGGTCTGTCTTGCTGTCACAGTGACCAACACAGCTCAAATTTAAAGCAGGAAACAGCCACGAGGTGCTGCTGGGTGGGAACCCACCAACAAAACATTAGATGGAGCAACTATACCACGCGCTGCTGTTAAGTACTGCGAGCTGCTCCTGGATAACCGCCCGGAAGGAAAATTCACCCAGAAGTACTAGCAGCGCTCTGCTCCTTGCAAATACTGGATTTGTCCCTCGACGCGCTGGCCGAAGGGCGATCGCCTTGGCAGGGGGAGGCGGGCGGCAGAGCCGGGAAGCCTG